GTGGATAAATTGCTTTGATGAAGGTCAAAAAGGCAGTGGGAAAGGTTCGAACTCGGGATCCTATTGTCGGAAAGCATGCGCTCTACCAATCTTGAAAAGCCACATGCACATGAATGTGCATATAGCGCGAATTCCTGTATATACTTGTACAGGAAGTCGGACAGATGACCCCCCTTGATCGACGTTCATGATCACAAATAAAATACTAATCATATATATACAAATAATGTCCCCATAGCCCTGTCTAATCGTGGTTACTACAGTGTCCTCTTGTTTCGGAGTTGCAAAGTGCTTAAATAACGTAGGCATTGTAATAATTACTAAAGCCAATATCAGTTAACTATAATAACTATAATAAGTTATGATTAAAAGTTATATTTCGAGTTATATAGCGCCAATTTTGGATGATTAGCGCTTTACAATGATATTATTAACCCGGTCATAGGAAACAATGCAAGCCAGCGCACATTGTGTGCATAATCTACACTCCCTGGGGAGCAATCCTCCTAAGCGGCTCATGGGCATTGAGAAGATCTTGTACGTGAGGGGTCTTACCTCCTACAGGGTATTCATTTATACACCCGAGTATAAAGCATCAATAATTGTGGATAAATTGCTTTGATGAAGGTCAAAAAGGCAGTGGGAAAGGTTCGAACTCGGGATCCTATTATCGGAAAGCATGCGCTCTACCAATCTTGAAAAGCCACATGCACATGAATGTGCATATAGCGCGAATTCCTGTATATACTTGTACAGGAAGTCGGACAGATGACCCCTTGATCGACGTTCATGATCACAAATAAAATACTAATCATATATATACAAATAATGTCCCCATAGCCCTGTCTAATCGTGGTTACTACAGTGTCCTCTTGTTTCGGAGTTGCAAAGTGCTTATTATAACGTAGGCAATGTAATAATTACTAAAGCCAATATCAGTTAACTATAATAAACTATAATAAGTTATGATTAAAAGTTATATTTCGAGTTATATAGCGCCAATTTTGGATGATTAGCGCTTTACAATGATATTATTAACCGGTCATAGGAAACAATGCAAGCCAGCGCACATTGTGTGCACCATCTCAACTCCCTGGGGAGCAATCCTCCTAAGCGGCTCATGGGCCTCGAGAAGATCTTGTACATGAGGGGTCTTACCTCCTACAGGGTATTCATTTATACACCCGAGTATAAAGCACCAATAATTGTGGATAAATTGCTTTGATGAAGGTCAAAAAGGCAGTGGGAAAGGTTCGAAACGGGATCCTATTATCGGAAAGCATGCGCTCTACCAATCTTGAAAAGCCACATGCACATGAATGTGCATATAGCGCGAATTCCTGTATATACTTGTACAGGAAGTCGGACAGATGACCCCCTTGATCGACGTTCATGATCACAAATAAAATACTAATCATATATATACAAATAATGTCCCCATAGCCCTGTCTAATAGTGGTTACTACTGTGTCCTCTTGTTTCGGAGTTGCAAAGTGCTAATAACGTAGGCATTGTAATAATTACTAAAGCCAATATCAGTTAACTATAATAACTATAATAAGTTATGATTAAAAGTTATATTTCGAGTTATATAGCGCCAATTTTGGATGATTAGCGCTTTACAATGATATTATTAACCGGTCATAGGAAACAATGCAAGCCAGCGCACATTGTGTGCACCATCTCAACTCCCTGGGGAGCAATCCTCCTAAACGCTCATGGGCATTGAGAAGATCTTGTACATGAGGGGTCTTACCTCCTACAGGGTATTCATTTATACACCCGAGTATAAGCATCAATAATTGTGGATAAATTGCTTTGATGAAGGTCAAAAAGGCAGTGGGAAAGGTTCGAACTCGGGATCCTATTATCGGAAAGCATGCGCTCTACCAATCTTGAAAAGCCACATGCACATGAATGTGCATATAGCGCGAATTCCTGTATATACTTGTACAGGAAGTCGGACAGATGACCCCCCTTGATCGACGTTCATGATCACAAATAAAATACTAATCATATATATACAAATAATGTCCCCATAGCCCTGTCTAATCGTGGTTACTACAGTGTCCTCTTGTTTCGGAGTTGCAAAGTGCTTAAATAACGTAGGCATTGTAATAATTACTAAAGCCAATATCAGTTAACTATAATAACTATAATAAGTTATGATTAAAAGTTATATTTCGAGTTATATAGCGCCAATTTTGGATGATTAGCGCTTTACAATGATATTATTAACCCGGTCATAGGAAACAATGCAAGCCAGCGCACATTGTGTGCACCATCTCAACTCCCGGGAGCAATCCTCCTAAGCGGCTCATGGGCATTGAGAAGATCTTGTACATGAGGGGTCTTACCCCTACAGGGTATTCATTTATACACCCGAGTATAAAGCATCAAACTGTGGATAAATTGCTTTGATGAAGGTCAAAAAGGCAGTGGGAAAGGTTCGAACTCGGGATCCTATTATCGGAAAGCATGCGCTCTACCAATCTTGAAAAGCCACATGCACATGAATGTGCATATAGCGCGAATTCCTGTACAGGAAGGTCGGACAGATGACCCCTTGATCGACGTTCATGATCACAAATAAAATACTAATCATAATATATACAAATAATGTCCCCCAAGCCCTGTCTAATAGTGGTTACTACAGTGTCCTCTTGTTTCGGAGTTGCAAAGTACTTAAATAACGTAGGCATTGTAATAATTAGTAAAGCCAGATTAGTTAACTATAATAACTATAATAAGTTATAATTAAAAGTTATATTTCGAGTTATATAGCGCCAATTTTGAATGATGGAGCGCTTTACAATGATATTATTAGCCCGGTCATAGGAAACAATGCAAGCAGCGCACCTTGTGTGCAAATCTCAACTCCCTGGGGAGCAATCCTCTAAGCGGCTCATGGGCATTGAGAAGATCTTGTACATGAGGGGTCTTACACTCTACAGGGTATTCATTTATACACCCGAGTATAAAGCATCAATAATTGGGATAAATTTGCTTGATGAAGGTCAAAAAGGCAGTGGGAAAGGTTCGAACTCGGGATCCTATTATCGGAAAGCATGCGCTCTACCAATCTTGAAAAGCCACATGCACATGAATGTGCATATAGCGCGAATTCCTGTATATACTTGTACAGGAAGTCGGACAGATGACCCCCTTGATCGACGTTCATGATCACAAAAAAATACTAATCATATATATAATAATGTCCCCATAGCCCTGTCTAATCGTGTTACTACAGTGTCCTCTTGTTTCGGAGTTGCAAAGTGCTTAAATAACGTAGGCATTGTAATAATTACTAAAGCCAATATCAGTTAACTATAATAACTATAATAGTTATGATTAAAAGTTATATTTCGAGTTAATAGCGCCAATTTGGATGATTAGCGCTTTACAATGATATTATTAGCCGGTCATAGGAAACAATGCAAGCCAGCGCACATTGTGTGCACCATCTCAACTCCCTGGGGAGCAATCCTCCTAAGCGGCTCATGGGCATGAGAAGATCTTGTACATGAGGGGTCTCTTACCTCCTACAGGGTATTCATTTATACACCCGAGTATAAAGCATCAATAATGTGGATAAATTGCTTTGATGAAGGTCAAAAAGGCAGGGAAAGGTTCGAACTCGGGATCCTATTATCGGAAAGCATGCGCTCTACCAATCTTGAAAAGCCACATGCACATGAATGTGCATATAGCGCGAATTCCTGTATATACTTGTACAGGAAGTCGGACAGATGACCCCCTTGATCGACGTTCATGATCACAAATAAAATACTAATCATATATATACAAATAATGTCCCCATAGCCCTGTCTAATCGTGGTTACTACAGTGTCCTCTTGTTTCGGAGTTGCAAAGTGCTTAAATAACGTAGGCATTGTAATAATTACTAAAGCCAATATCAGTTAAACTATAATAACTATAATAAGTTATGATTTTAAAAGTTATATTTCGAGTTATATAGCGCAATTTTGGATGATTAGCGCTTTACAATGATATTATTAACCCGGTCATAGGAAACAATGCAAGCCAGCGCACATTGTGTGCACCATCTCAACTCCCTGGGGAGCAATCCTCCTAAGCGTCTCATGGGCATTGAGAAGATCTTGTACATGAGGGGTCTTACCTCCTACAGGGTATTCATTTATACACCCGAGTATAAGGCATCAATAATTGTGGATAAATTGCTTTGATGAAGGTCAAAAAGGCAGTGGGAAAGGTTCGAACTCGGGATCCTATTATCGGAAAGCATGCGCTCTACCAATCTTGAAAAGCCACATGCACATGAATGTGCATATAGCGCGAATCCTGTATTACTTGTACAGGAAGTCGGCCAGATGACACCCCTTGACTCGACATTCATGATCACAAATAAATACTAATCATATAATACAAATAA